TGAAAGGCCTTCCAAGAGAACGTTGTTGGTGGGTGGGCGGGACCAGCTTTGGGCCTCCAGGTTTGACTCCCAGAAATCCCGGCCAGCAGAGGTGGTGGTGAAGGCTTCTGGGAGTTGTAGTCCAAGAACATCTAGAGGCCCAAGGTTGGGGACCACCAGACTAAACTGTTCTTTAGGATTATTTATTTTTTAAAGAGACAGCAGCTGTGGAAATAGACAGCTTCAGTTGGCCAACCTCTCCTCTTCAAGACCGGAATGTGAGCCGCTGTCGGTACGTGGTCCATGAGAGCCCTTCGCATCTGGTCCTTTCAGCTAAAGGAGGTCCTGTCACCCCCTGTCATGTAGGCTCAGGGATGACCCATCCCACACAGGACAACCATGGGGATGGGGGGGTGGCTTGAGTTTCCATGTGCCTTTCCCCCCACGGTTAACAGGCGACCCACAGGGGAGAGGAGCCTGGGCTCAGTGTCCTTGGCTGCCCCTACAAAGAAGGGGGTTCCCCCAGGCTGCTCCGAGTTCATATCCGAACACCCCCACCTGCCCGAGGGACCTCCTCCTCCCTTTGGAGAACCAAGTGTTCTGCGGAGACCCCCAAACTCTGATGGGCATGGTAGGAAAGAGCGCTCTCCCCTCCGCCCCATTTTGTTTTGCTGGGGGGGGGTGCCCTGCTTCCTGTTTCTGCCGCTCACCCAAGTTGCCGGTGCAGAGGCAGTTGTGGGTCCGGGGTTGCGGCTTGCTCTGGTGGCTGTCCAGGATTTGCTGCACCAGCTGCTCCACCGAGAAGCCCGAGCTGCTGTTGCCATTGCTGCAGGTCCACTTGATGCCATGAACTGCGAAGAGGGTGGAGACGGGTGGGGTGGGGGATCACAAGAGAAAACAAACCGAATCTATGTTAAATTTTAAAAAAATTAAAAAAATAACATAAAGGATGAAAACCATGGAAAACTATTGAAGGACCTGGAAGTTTAAAAAAAAAACCCCACCCTCCTTGAGATAACGTATTGCTTAAAGGCCCACCGGAAGAGGATGGCCATTACCTGAAAAGTTCTAACTCTGGGAAATGGGTTTTTTTTTTGGGGGGGGTGATGGGCATGGTGGCACATCCTCTGTCCACGGATGAGAGAGGTGCAGGAGAAAGGGGCTGCCTCCCAGACCCACCCACCCCATTTTGGGGCCAGCTTGGATAATTAACGTACTTAAAGGCCCACTGGAACAGGATGACCATTACCTGAAAAGTTCTAACTCTGGGAAATGTTTTTTTTTGGGAGGGGGGTGATGGGCATGGTGGCACGTCCTCTGTCCATGGATGAGAGAGGTGCAGGAGAAAGGGGCTGCCTCCCAGACCCACCAGCTGGGGCCAGCTTGGATAATCAGCCCTGAAACCCCCCACCCCCATCCCCCCCGGCCTCTCTTGGGCTCCCCACTCCTTCATCCTCTCCACAATTCATGACATCATCTCCCAGTTTAATTGTGATTGTTCCTAAAATACTTCCCGAAACCGGAGTCAAGGGACCTCGCTCTTCCATTTCACTTTTTCAGTCCATGCAGGGGGGGTCTGGTCGGAGAGACCCAAAGTTCAAAGACTAACGCGTTGGTCACAGCACCAGCTTTCCTAGAGAGGAGGGGCCCCCGGAAGGTGGGGCTCCGGTCTGCATGGACCTACAACCACCCTCCATCCAGGCCCCACCTGGGGAAAGCTGGAGAAATCGGGCCAAAGCTGGGATGTTGGCAAGTCTTTGGGTCTTGAGTCCCAAGTCTGAGTCTTTGGTCCCAAGTCCCTATTAAAAACAAGCTCTAGAAAAAGAGGAGATGACGTGTGGGTCCCAAGTTGAGCTGCCGGCCCCCCTGCTTGTTCTGGCGCTCATTGTGAGGTGGGTCGCACAAGCGGTTGGCACAACAGGAAGCCTGTTGGCACTGGGGTGGTATGTGTGAGTGTTTGGAAGGGATCATGGTGGAGGGCTGTCCTTTGCACACCACGCGTGGCCTTGATCTGTAAGATCCCAGGTGGGGGACGTGGCAAGTCCTGTGAAAAAGACCTGTCCTTGATCATTCTAGGCTTCGGTCTAGATGGGTGGGGTATACATTCAATAAACAAACAAACAAAGAAACAAATAAGTCTTGCTAAGTCTAGGCTCTCTGGGGAGGCTTCCCCAGGTGCCTATGCACTTTTCTGGATTCTTGTGGAAACCACTTCTGAGTCTTCTCTACCTGCAAAGGGTTGCCATAAGTCAGAAGTGACTTGATGGCATGTCATTAAATTAAACGTCTTCTTGGAGGTTTGCAATCTTCACGCCACGACAGCGCTCAATCGCCTGCGGCTTTTCACTACTGCTGCAAAAGTTTTGGAGAGAGATGAAGAATTTTTTTTTTTTCGGGGAGGAGCAGCCTCTTCCTTTGTCCCTGCTTGCTGTCCTCGCGGCCTAAAGAGGCTTGGCAGGCTTTGGATGCAGTACAGAAAAAGCCTCAGAGACCTGTTTGATCAGAGGCACAGTGCTTCTCCACTCCACAGGACGCTCCCCAAGTCTCCGGAAAAACCAGACTGCCCATATTGAGGGTTCCCAATTTTGTGTCCAGACTCGGCAAAGCGGGCAGTAGCAGAGCAACTTTTGAGGAGGCAGCTGCTGCTCCCCCTTCTGTGCAGAAGGTCATAAAATGAAGATCCACCGAAGGGCGACAGATTGCAAGGAGAGAATTCCAGGAGGCTTCATGTAAATTACTGACAGTCTTGGCCCATCCACTATGCAGATTGCCTCGCTCGCCTTGCGCCCTAACCCCCCTTCCCCTTTCCAAAGCAAGCCTCCCTTGAGCCGGCCCGCGTTGCGAGCGCCGCATATAAAATACGATCAAGATGGCTTTTAACATGTCACGGTCGGCTTCCTGACACATAATGAATCAGCAGGAAGGAAGGAAGA